TTGACTATAATGTTTCCACAAGATTGCATTAAAATTGTCTATCTCCATGGCAGGTGTGGCAAACCGCAATAAAAATCACATATTACGCTATGCTATACCTTATTTATTTTATGTTAGAGCAATGATGTTTTAATGTCCTGTATTATGCACAAATTGAGTTTTAGTTTTAGTGCTTTTAGTTATAATGCTGTTCCCTCATCAAAAACATACCTGCAGTTGTATTTTGGTTTGTTCACACACATGAGTAAGCCTTTATTATTAAATGTCTGTCTACATCTCCAGTCCTCAAAACGCTCTTTTCAATCTTTTGATGTCATAAAGTGATGGTTTACAAGTTAAGAGCTACATTTTACTGTTTAGTAGACATTATGGGCAATTCTAGCTGTGTAATTATCCAAATTATTCCAGTGAAGGTGTATTGAGTTTAAAAACTCAGTGGAGCACTTCCTGGATTACCACATTATATCACAAGGTGGAATGGAGTGTTTTCTGTTTGAGAGAAGAACTCCTAAATATGCAGGACCTGTCTGTTAAACATGTGTGAATGAAACAAAACACAACTCCAAGTATGTGTTTGATGAGGTAATAACATCATGACATAGATCAGAATATAGAGTAAAATATGCCCTTTTAAACTTCACTAACAATATTATTACAATTTTATCTAGCCATAGCCATATCAAGAATGATACAGAGAAGAGAAATGTTGAAATTGAACTGAGTGATCTGTTCAGCACTTTGGAAAAACATCAGGCTGGTACACACAGTATCACAAAGAAGCTGAAGATCAACAACGGTAAAACATGCACACAATGTGAATTTAACAGTTGTATCAACTGTTTTAACTGTGAAAAAACTGTGTTTTTTTTCTTAGTTTTTGAGCACCGTGATGCCGCAGAGCACTATGAGAAGATCTTACGTAATATCAGTCCAGAGGCGTCCCAGGTAGTGTTGTCACAATACTAACATTTCCAACTCAATACCCATTGTGATACAAAGATAATAACAAAAACACTCTTTATTTAGACCATAGAATGTCATTTTCAGCATTAAATAATAGTGCTTTCTTTCATATTTGCCCTTATATGTGTGTAGTCCCTCAGTCATATATAGTCTATGTGGTATAACCTACTTCTTTTGATACAGCCCAAGATCAATTTTGAGGCTATTCAGGAAAAGTTCATTTCTGTCCTGTGAATGTTTTCAGTATCAATACCTGCTCAAATGAGTATCTAGTAAGTTTCAATTCTAGTTTTTGTATCGATAAGTATCTGATTTTCAATACTTTTGTCAACCCTAAGTACAGACTTCATCAACTGTTTTCTGTGTTATTAAATTGCCAAGGAGTATATTGATTAAATTATTTGATTTTGTCTTTGTCCACAGATCTTCCATGGACAGCTGACCAACCGGAATAAATGTAAGCAGTGCAAAACTATAACTAAGAGTAAAGCAGGATTCTGGAGCCTTCCTCTTCCTCTAGTGAACGATAACAATGAATACAGTGTGGTGAGTCTCTTTGCCCTGTTTTCAGTGTGTGTGTGTGTGTGTTTTTTTTACTATACATTTAAATGTATTAGGGCTGTAGGCCTTTAGTCGTTAAGTCAATGAATCGGTCGATGGTGCAACTCTGTTGCATACAAAAACACACGAAACCTGGTACTTTCAAAGAATAAACACAAAGTGTGATAAAAAAAGAAAATTATATCTAAAGGAATGTGTAGGAACCGCTATTAAAATAATTTAATAAAGTTTTTTTCACTTGTAGACATACTGTGGGAAGAACAACCAAAACATTTTCTCTCGTTACTTCCATAAATATATTACTCGGGTAGATTAATGTATGCTGCTTGAAAAGTATTCCGAAAAGTACAATTTTCTTTCAATCTTTCAAGTAAATGTAATGGTACCATCCACCTCTGGTGACATACTGTTCCTGACATTCTGTTGCAAAAATAAATACACATTTCAACTCCCTGACAGGCTCTTTAAGGGGATTAACATCCATCTTTATTTTCAATGCATTTAGAGTTTAGAAGAGACTTTTCATTCTCAGATACTTGTGGCCTGTTTTTTGTGTGTTTAGGAGAAGGGCATTGAGGACTTCTTCCGTCCTTCAGAGATCAGTGGAGATGACCAGATGTACTGTGAAAAGTGTGATAAAAAATGTGACGCTGTTCTGGTGAGTGCAAATGAAAAAGCTTTGGATTTCAGTATGGTTGTCAGAAGTATTAAAAATCAGATATTAATTGATATTAAAACAAGTATTAAAACTAGACACTCATTTGAGCAAGTATCGATACTAAAAACAGTCTATTCTAGTCTAGTCTAATACTTAGTATCAAAGTCAAGTTTAAAATTTTAGTATCATGACAGCATTAGTTTTTAACATATTTCTGACTTGCATTTTTCTTAGGATTGCGAGGTGAAACATTCTCCAGAAGTCTTAGTGCTCCTGTTAAAGCGATTCGAACTGAAATGTGTTGGTAATGTTTGGGAAAAAGTAAAAATCAACTGCCCAGTAAAGATTCCGGACACACTGCAAATTAAACAGGTGAAGTAGAGCAATTAAAGTACCGTATTTTCTGCACTACTGGGCACTCTGAATTATAAGGTGCACTGTCATAGAATGGTCTATTTCTGAACTTTTTTCACAAATGTTGTTCAGTTGTGGCTAGAAGTGGCACATTGCACTCGCTTTTTCAGTTCATTCCTCCGTTCCATTCCTCGTCCGCACGGAGTCATGAGTGTGGCTGCGGGTGTTTGTTGCTGCACGGTCGCTGTCTGCTCTGTGCATGTTTGCGTGCGATGCGGGTGGTGCAGCTTTGTAGTTTACTGAAGTCGTGCTGGGACACCCGAGTGGATTTGTGTATAGGGTGCTCTGGATTGCGGGGCGTGCAGTCATTTTTTGATGGGGTTGGAGGCTTAAGAGCGTGTCCTATGGTGTGGAAAATATGGTACTGTACATTTAAAGGGCCTGTATTAACTATTTTCTGATCTCTGTTATAATGTTGTTTCCTCATCACAAACATACCAGGAGTTGTGTGGGGTTTTTTTTTCATTCACACATGTTTTAACACACAAACCTCTGTTCCACCTTGTGATGTCATGTAGTAATACAGGAAGTGCTCTACTGTGTTTTAAATACCACCTTCACTATAATCATTTGGAAAATTTCAGCCTTAAAATTTCCAGTCTCTTGCTGTTAACTTGAAAACTACCATTTCATCCCATCACAAGGTGGAACAGAGCATTTTGAGCTGTAAAGAGACTAATAATAAAAGATTACTGTGTGAATGAAACAAAACAAAACTCCAGATATGTTTTTGAGGAGGTAACAGCAAAATATGGCTTAAACTTCACAAGAGTCAGTTTTGTGTAATATAGGACCTTTCACATTGAGATTGCACTTAAATGTTATTATAAGAAAGTGTTTTGTTTTTTTTTGTTTTTGTTTTTTTAGAATGAAATATACAAACTCTATGCCTATGTAGACCATTTTGGAAGTCTGCGACAAGGACATTACACTGCAACAATCAAGTCACAGGATGACGGCCAATGGTACATTTTTGATGACTTGAGCATTCAAGTGGTAAGCTTAAGTCATCAGGATTTTGTTCTGATTAAAACAAAACTGATCTCTAAAAATCTTTCTTTCAACAGTTAAGCTATAACCATTTTCAATTGGATCCCACACAGACGTACGTTACATTACTTTTTTCTTTTTTTTTTTGCTATAATGTCAGCTCACTTTTTTTAATGTATAATCACTCATGTTTCTTCTCCCAAGGTCCGAAAGTGTTTATCTTCTGTTTTACCAGAAACAGGACGGTATGTGTAAAATACCTAACCTAAAAGTCACCTTAGCAGCCTTTGGAATAGTGGTTGAATGCTATTATTTGCATAACTTCTTGGGTTATTTTTAAAGACAGTACAGTAAAGTGTATTTACCTTGTTAACACTTTACTTTAAGTACATAAGAAGACAAAATGAACATCTTTGGCTAATATTTCCATAATATACAGGACACTTACGAGGGGGTATTATGCAAGATCAACTTTTTTAGAGCTCTTTGCCATGTTAAAATGTTATTCATTCATTAAAAACATGCCTGAAGAGGTTTTATATGTCATCCATGGATGTTTGAATAAGTTTCCCGGGCCCTCTTCAAACCTTCCTCATGGTTAGCAATATGATCCTGTCCAAAACTCAGTCCACAAGCCTACCTCACCCATGCTCCCATAGGACAATTTTTCATAAATATAAGTGTGATACAAAACAATACACTACAACTGGTGCAATGTACAGTATTACCAAAATGCATGCCGATTGTAATGCGACAGTGATAGTGATAGTGATAGTGCTCTGAGGGGGAATATCTTAGTGTGGAGAGCAAAGGAGGAGGGACTCAGTGTTAAAAACAAAAGTTAAATTTATAAAATATGTTAATACATTGTTTTCAACAAATATAGCATTTTCAAAACAACAAAAGGTAACATGGTGATCTAAATATGGTATGTGTTAGCAGTTAATACCCCCTTAACATCACTCACTCAAACCACTATATTTGCTCATATTTAGCGCCTACTATTGCATCCTTTGGCAAGACACTTCACTGAGTCATGCATCATATGGCATATAAACTATCTTTTGTTGTCTACTAAGCTCACCCCACACTAATTTCATTGCTTTAGTTTTATAAATGTTTTTACTACCTTTTTTTTTTTTTACACAGACACAAATGTGGACAGACATGACACACCAAACATTTTACCAACAACAACACTGCTCAGTCAGACGGAAGATCATCACAGCTCCTCAGAGGAAAAAGCTGCTGATATTAAATTTGTCACAAAGAACCAACCAGTCACCCCAGGATCAAAAAGAAATATGGGTGGACCTAGATATGATGAACAAAATGAATCAATGAGAATCAGAACAAATGGAGATACTGAAACGGGTCAAACCTTTGATCAAGGAAAACAATCAAAACATAGAGAACCAAATCTAGAAACATTCTATAGAGACTGCAGGGATGTCAATGAGAAGCCCAAAATGCATAATAAACATAATGAAGGAGAAGAACATGGAATGGCTAAGATGAAACAAGAATATTTCTCAAATGAGCAAAGCCTACAGAAAGTCGGAAGGGACAAACAACATGTCAGTCAGCACGACATAACGTCAGCATACTATAGACATCAAGATGGTATGAGTTATAAAGATAAAGACAGACAGACTAGACAAGTTAATCACAATAATAGTTATGCTCTAAGTCAAAATGAGAAGCAATGGAGGGAGCAGACAAAACAAACTGAAAATTCCTCAGATGTCTACAACAAATCTATCAACACAAACAACAAACAAAATCGGTCAAATTTTCAGGCAAGATGTTAAAAGATAAGAAAAGGATCCTGCAAACAAGACTTAGACGCACTAAAAGTTGTGCTTCAAAAACGATCACTTGAGGATATAAATGTGGCTAATCCGAATGATCTGGGAATTTCGAGAAGAAGAAGGGAAAGGTCTTTTAGTCAGAAATGAACCTGATCAAAAGTCAACACGTAGTTTTCATGCAACACACAGGCAGAAAAATGAAATGAGAAATGATGGACTAAAGAAAAACTCAAGAAGAGATGGACAGAATGACACCTTCCAAAACCATTCAGAGAGATCATCACAAGAAGTATCTCAGCAAACTAACCCTCAGCAATGCTTAGCAAGATTGGAGACACGTCAGTCAAGACAAAATATGAAGTCAGGTCATTCGCAAAAACCAAAAGGTACATGTGATGATGATATGGGTAAAATGAAAGATGTAAATAAACTATGTCACAACAATGCAAACCCTGAGGCAGAAGTAACCTGTGACAGTATTTAGCTGAACAGATGAAACATTTATCATTGAGCAATCCGCCCAAAAAATCAGAAGAGGAGCTTGAAACAAATTATCGCCAAAGCAGGAAGAAGAAGAAGTGTTTGCCGAGGTGTCGTTTGCCGAGGTGGCGTGGTTTGCGTCGTTATATTTGTTTTTTATCATGTAAGAAGAAAACACACCAAATGACTAGGCAGGCACACTATTAGATATAAGGAATAGTTTATAATTATGTTCCTGGTTTGAGTGAGTTATTTTCTCATTCTACACTATACTAGAATACTGTTGTATTGTTTTTGTTGTTTTTGTTTGTTAAAAATATAAGAACAATTGTGTATATTGTGTTTGCACGTAAGGTTAATTAAATTTGCACTTTTAGATTATCCATTGTGTTTTAAAGTTTATGGTTTTGAATTGTATTCTAAACTAATTTCACTACGACTGACTGTAATAGTAAAACAAATGATGTACTATTGTATGTACGGTTAAAATAAATAAACAGAAATAACACATGTATACATCATGGTTATGTTATTACATTTAGCACATTTTTTAAATCTTGGTTTAGTTTGATCATTTGATTCAAACCTGTATCTGAAGTGAGGCACAGGTGTTCAAATCATCTGGAACAATTTCATCAGTTCCCTCAATTCTCAGGCTCTCTCTCAAAACATGTAACACTCTCATTTTTACAAAACACACATGATCACTGAAACTTGTTTTTGTTAGTTTTTCCCCCCCAATACTACAGGTGTGTTCTCACGTGGTAAAGGACTTTGACCCTAACTCTTGTCACTTTCAGTATAGAAATTCAAACATAATGGGAAAAAACTACAGTTTGTGAGCACCTAAAATCTATCAACAAAGGATTTCATACATGAGGGGAGGTGCCTCAGAGAGTAGCTAACAAAATGTATAAATATAGAGACATACTGCCTACAGTAAACTAAATCCAGAGTGATGTATAAATGTATAATTTTCAAGAACACATCACATATTGCCAAAGCAGTAAGAATGTATTTGCAACTCCAATATTTTCCATTTTTCTTCAGCATAAATAGACAATCTTTGATCAAATGCTCAAAATGTAGTTTGTGATTGGTAATGTGTAGATTTATTTTTATATTGTAGATTTTACAAAATACAATATATTTTTCCAGACACAAACTCGTATGTTTAAAGTATGAAGTGCTCAGTTGTTCTACCCCTTATTTAGCCTATCCAAATGTCGTACTGTTTTTCCTGTGCACCTTGAGCGCACCACACGCAAATGTCTTAAATGAAATAGAAAGTATGTTGTCCTGTGACTGTCACAGGACGACATAATTATTACTGAATGGTCGGACAAACATAGTCATGGATTTGAGTAAACCAGGTAAGATTGTTATTATTATTAAACAAAAGTTCGCATCTGTGGTGAAGTGGAGGATATCTGAAATGTATGTCTGAACGTTTGCAGTCAGATACCATGGGTTAGTGAACCAGGGAGCTACGGATTACCTGAACAGTGTCCTGCAGGTGCTGTTCATGACAGAAGACTTCAGAGAAAGCATCAAAAAGTTTGTAGCTAATTTAAAGTGGGCTGTAGACTTTTCAGAAATCTTGAGGAAAACTGATGTAATAATGTATGTTAATCCCATCAGGAGCAACGCAGGGAACGAGCGCATTGACAGAGAGCTGAAGGAACTGTTTGAAGACTTGGAAAAATATGATGCGTCTACGTACAACATTACAAATAAACTCAAGATCAGAAATGGTACAATACCTGCACATTACAGGCACATAAATACATTAATTTAATTAAATATAAAAAAGGGCTATATTAGGCTATTGTAATAAATGTCTATCTCTCACTACTAGTGCATGAGCAGCGTGATGCAGCAGAGCACTTTGAGAAGATTTTACGTCTGACCAGTCCAGAAGCCTCCCAGGTACTAATAGTACTAATAGTATGAGGGTTTCATTTTGAGAGAGTTTTGCTTCAGACTTTCCCTGCAAAAGCCAGTGCTGGACTGAAGATTTGGTGCAGAAAATTAACTACATAATTACAACGCTCTCAAGTTAATTGTTGTATTCGAAATTAGGTGAAAACTAGATCGATTTGCTGTTTTGTTTTGGGTTTTTTTTTGTTGTTGTTGTTTTTGGTTTTTTTGTTGTTGGTTTTTTTTTGGTATTTTTTAGTTAATAATTTGCTTTTTTTCTTTATTCACAGATCTTCCATGGAGAGTCGATAAACAGAAATACATGTCAAGAATGTAATGCTAAAACTGAGACTGCAGCAGGATTCTGGAGCCTCCCTCTTCCTCTGGTGAATGATAACAATGAATATAGTGTGGTAAGTCCAGCTAAGCCAGTGCTTCTAAAATAGTGGGGCGCGTTTGACCTCGGGAACATGCTTTTTTATTTTTTTTATTTAGATTTTTTTTACTGTCTTAAGGGCCGTTCACACCAAAGCGTCAAAAAACGCCTTGACGCCTCTATTTGGAGCCTTTGCATTTGAGTTTAGACGCCCCCGACGCGCGTCTTTGACGCCGTGGACGAACAGGACAAAAATACTTGACGCGCGTCCGTTGCCCTGGAAACAAGAGCCCGGTCCCGCTCTTTTCCCGAAACAATGTCAGACCAGACTGAGAGAGTGTTTTTATGACATACAACATCAACGTAGGAGATCGGGTCGACGACTGGGGCGTATATATATTTCTACTCCGCTAATGACACTGGATCAGTCCCGGTCTCGTCCTGGTCTAATCCCGGTCTAGTCGTGGTTTAATCTAGTCCCGGTCTATCCTGGTCCACGGTCTAGTCCTGGTCTAATATCTATCAAGGTCTAGTCCCGGTCTAGTCCTTGTTTATCTCGGTCTGTCTCGGTCTAGTCCTTGTTAGTCCCGGTCTAGTCCTGGTTTGGTCCTGGTCCGGTCCTCGGTGTAGTCCTCGCGATCGGCTCGGTGATTGTGGCGTATATATTTATTCTCCGCTCATGTTTGTGGTTCTCGTTCTGGTTCTCGGGTCTTTCTTCCTGATAATAACGTCGCTGCGTCACTGGATACTCGTCCCTGATTGGTTAACGCGGCGCGTCTGACGCGAAAAGTTCAGCATTTTCAACTTCTTGACGCTGACGCCTTGGACGCGCGTCTTGGCCGCTGACGCCAAAACGCTGAAGACGCGCTGCGCTGACGCCAGATTCGCGCCGCGCTGACGCCGAAAACGCGCCGCAAAAACGCAGGACGCTCTAGTCGCGCGTCCACATAGACTTTACATAGAAAGTGGACGCTTTGACGCTTTGGTCTGAACGGGCCTTTAGAATAAAGTGCAATTGCACTTCCACTACATTAGGGGGCAGAGCGCTCTCATTGCCAGAGTGTGCGCAGGGAGCATTCGCTCGGTGGTGTAGGAGTTTTGTTTGCACTGAGCATGCGCGCTTTGCACACAGCACAGAGTTTGAGTATGAAGTGTAGACACGAAGAATAGCAGACCCTCAAGTGACACATGAAAAAAATTTAACAGGGATGAGAAGACAGGTGGAGAGAACGGAGATAAAGAGACAAACGAAAATCTCCCGAAAGCTAAGACGAGGAAATATGACGAAGCGTATGTAGCGCTTGCTTCACTGTGACTACGGTGGGAGACGAGGAAAGACCGGTGTGCTTACTGTGTCTAAAAATGTTGGCAGCGGACAGCATGAAGCCCAATAAATTAAGGCGTCACTTAAATACATTACACCCCAATCACTCTGATAAGCCGCTTGAGTTTTTTCAGCGAAAACGTGCCGAATATTGCCGACAATCATCCCGCTTTGTGACTGCTACTTCAGTAAACCAGCGAGCATTGTTGGCGTCATATAAGGTGGCAGTGTTACGCACAGGTGTACTTATATAACAATTTTATAGACAAATGATACTATCTATAGTCACGCGGGGGGGGGCGCGAGGTGTTTTATTCGTCCTAGGGGGGGCATGACAGAAAATAATTGAGAAGCACTGAGCTAAGCTAATCTTTTTCAGACAGACACTTAACTTGCTTTTAGATATGTTAGTACTGTTGTTGTTGTTTTTTTAATGACTGGTACTTCTCAGGAAAAGGGCATTGAGGACTTCTTCCATCCTTCGGTGATCACTGGAGATGATCAGATGTACTGTGAGAACTGTGATAAAAAATGTGATGCTGTTCTGGTGAGTAACAGTCACATGTGTGAGTTTTATGCTGTTGTTCTGCCCATACTGTTTATTTTGTATATACACAGTTAAAGGTATATTTTACCTTGTTTTTGATGCACACATGCCCTTATTTTTATTTTATTATAGCCTATATTTACCAGTAATTTTCTTTGTTTTATGTTGCACCATAACACTGAAGCAAGTTGAATTTTGTTCACTAATAATGGCAAGAAGACTTATTCTGACATGTGATATGTATTTTGCCTGTGTTTGTTACAGGGTTGTGAGGTGAAAGATCATCCAGAGGTCTTGGTACTGTTGTTAAAGCGCTTTGAGTTTGACTACAGTTCCATGGTCTATGTCAAAATCAACCAGCCTGTCAATGTGCCCCAAACTCTGCAGATGTCGGGGGTAAAGTAGAAATAATAATTGTTTTTAATGCAAAAGCGCAATGCAGTTACTGTCTGTGTTATTTTGACAGGAACACCTTTATAACCTGTATGCCATTGTAGAACATTCTGGAGAACTGAGACGTGGACATTATGTTTCCATTATTAGATCACAGAACGATGATGAATGGTATATTTTTAATGATTCTATGGTAAGTCTAGATATCTAATCTATCTATCTATCCATGTATCTATCTATCTAATCTAATGTAATTAAATCAGTCATTTGAACTGCTATTTATGTAAACTGGTTTGTTTAAAAACATTTTTGTTCCTTATGTAGGCTCCACATTCTGTTTCACCAACACTGGAAAGGTATGAATCATCAAATATAACTTACAGTGGTAGCTTAGAGGCTTTGATGAAAAAAAAGCTCCCTGCTACTCCCCTACTATTGCAGTTGGACTATTGGACTATTGCAGAAATTCAATAGTTTCACATTTTGTAACTGTATGTGTTTTTTTAAGAAGTGTCACATCTATTTATCTATCTATCTGTCTATCTATCTGTCTGTCTGTCTGTCTGTCTGTCTATCTATCTATCTATCTCACAAGAACCACTAATTCACAACTAACCCGTTATTATTTTATCCATATAGGTCCCGAAGAGCTTATCTACTGTTTTACCAAAAACAAAAAGGTCAGGAAATATCCATGAAACAAAGACATTTAAAAAAAAAAATGTTTTGTAACATGTTTATTTTTAAACACCCCACCCCAGAAACTCTGCAAGACAATATCTCAGATGGTATCAACAAAACAACTGAGAAGGAGCAAGTTCCAGCTAATGAACTGAAAAATGAAGAAACAGCAGTCGGGGCTACATCACTACACCAGTAACCCCGGAAATCCAATAGAAAGAAGGCAAGATTTCACTGAGACAGAAACAGGCTTGAAAATGAAAGTGACCAAATTAGGAGGACCAAATTATTCAAATAACATTTAGGAAAAGAAATACAGAGAAATATAATAAGAAATTAAAACTACAAATAGTGATAAAGGCCCTTGCAACCTTTGCACCTGTGGAAGAGCAATGACAAACTTTTTTTTTTTCTGTCTCATTATGACTTTATTTGTGTGAATCTAACAATATTTTCAGAAGTTAAGTTTTATTCTTAGAAAATGGCCACTTCATTAAGAACTCGTTATGACCACATCTTGAGACTTCCCGTCAATTCTTTTAAAAACTTTTGACCCCAGATATGGCCTGATGACACTGCTTCAGTTTGAAGTCTGTGGGATAAAAACCCTATAACAATTTTGTTAAAGTACAAGGTCTAGATTTTGGATGACTCAAGTTTAATATAATTTATTTACCTTACCTTCATCTTTCAGTATTTTTTCTCTGGGTCTTCACTGAAAATTAGAGCTCACTGAGTTCTACCTTTTGATACTAATCACATGTATACGATATTTGTTATTGTTTACTACTTGACTTTTGTCAAGTTATTTTCTTATTTGCACAATACTTACTGTGCATAAAAAAGTGGTGTATATTGTGTTTGAACTTGAGGTTAATTAAATTTGCACTTCATCACTTTCATCATTTGTTGAATGAATATCATCTAGACTGTAATTACACTATAGACCCAACGTTCCAGTAAAACAAATGATCTACTGTTGTATGTTTTATAAAAATAAATAAATACATAAAACGTGTATCTTACACATTGTGTTTATATTATTAAACAAGTTAGCATTAATATTAACTATCCCCATTTTGAATATTAACTTTTTTTTTTTAATAAAACGTTTTAACGCTCCTGTTTTTCCGGTGCACCTTGAACACACCACACGCAGATGTGTCAAATGAAAGAGAAACTATGCAGTACAGCTCCTAGAACATGGACGAACATAGTCATGGCTTTGAGAAAACCAGGTAAGATAATTTTTATTAAACAAAATGTCGCGTCTCTGGCGAAATGGAGTGCATCTTTAACGATGTCTGAACGTTTGCAGTCAGATACCATGGGTTAATGAACCAGGGAGCAACGTGTTACCTAAACAGTGTCCTGCAAGTACTGTTCATGACCGAAGACTTTAGAGCAAGTATCAAAAAGTTTGTAGCTAATTTAAAGTGGGCTGTAGACTTTTTTCAGAAATCAACGTGCATTTATAATTGATGTAATAATGTATGTTAATCCCATCAGGAGCAACGAGCGCATTGACAGAGAGCTGAAGGAACTCTTTGAAAACTTGGAAAAAGATGATGCTTATACATACACAATTACAAATAAACTCAAGATCAGAAATGGTACAATATCTGTACATTACAGCCACATATAAATACATTAATTTAATCAAATATGTATTAAAGGTTGGCTATTATAGTAAAGGTTTATCTCTCACTAGTGCATGAGCAGCGTGATGCAGCAGAGCACTTTGAGAAGATTTTACGTCTGACCAGTCCAGAGGCTTCCCAGGTACTAATAGTATGAGGTTTTAATTTTACTTACTGAGTTATTTTTTATTAGTACCTTTCTTTGTTCACAGATCTTCCATGGAAAATTGATAAACAGTAATATATGTCGGGAGTGTAAAGATAAAACTGAGACTGCTGCAGGATTCTGGAGCCTCCCTCTTCCTCTGGTGAATGACAACAATGAATACAGTGTGGTAAGTCCAGTTATAAAGCCAATCTTATTCAGGCAGACACCTAATTGCACAATACAGATTCTAGTGTGAGCTTTAAGCCATGTTATAATGCTGCTACCTCTTCAAAACATACCCATAGACTAGTTGTTTTGTTTCATTCACAGATGTTTGAGTAGCCCTGGATTATTAGGCTGTTTACTTCCCCAAAGCTCATAATGCTCTGTTTCACTTTGTGATGTTATATAGTGGTAGTTTTGAAGCTAACAGCTACCTTTTATCTTTTGTTCAGTAGAGATGGTTAATTCCAGGGCTGAAATCG